TTTGTCTATTCCCCATGCCTACCCAGTAGCCTCTAGGCAGTAGTGAGACATGTGGCCATGTGGTGTGCAGCCCCCCAGTGACCTTGTGTCCAGGGTCCAACCTGGCCTTATTGTGGGGTGTTGGCCCCCTGCCATAGTATAATTTGGTTCTGCCCAGCGGCATAGGTGGTGTTGGTGGGAATAACCTAAGGGGCATCCTGCGACTCCCTCCTAACTAATGAGCTTTATAGCTCACAAAACAGGCGCTCTTCCACCCCCTTTACTCGCGAGGCCGCAGTCCGCCCCGGCCCCGCAGGTGGTCGCACCCTAGCAGGTGTCGTGGCCCCCCCCGCGCTGCCCCCCGGGTCCCCCGAACCCGTGCTCCACCCCGCTCCGATAGGGGGGTGAGGTATCGCGTTTTGGGCCAGGTGTGGATCGTCCCGCTAGTCTCCCAGCGTCTCCTCCTGGGGACCATCGGTTCCCTCCCCCCTGGTCAATTGCATAGTCCGAAATGCCTCTGTACCCACCCGTGCCAACCAGGGTGTCCATGTGTCTAAGTATGTCTGCGTTCGGTCTTGGGCTGAATACCAGATCTCCTCTGTGACTCGTAACTCCTCCATTCTAGGAAACCACAGGGAGAGTGTTGGGGTCGTGTCTTTTTTCCAGTACAAAGGTATTAGGTGTTTTGCGACGTTAAGGATTCGGATGGTCAGGGAGCGTTTGTAGCGTGATGTGGGGGTTGTCGTGTGGTGTAGGAGGTACGGGGCGGGCCGGAAGGGTGGGACATTGTCCATGAACATGGCCACCATGGCAGCTATTTGCTCCCAGAACGGTACTATAAGTGGGCATTCCCACCATATGTGAAGAAAGGATCCCACCCCTCTCTTGCACCTCCAGCAGAGGCCATCCGCGTCCAAGTGCATTCTCTGTAAGCGTTCTGGGGTCAGGTACCATTGTGTGAGAACCTTGTAGGCAGTTTCCTGGGTTTTGCTCGCGATTGCGCAGTGGTGCACTAGATCGCAGATCCTGTGCCACTGGGTCTCGGTAAATGTTTCCCCCACGGCAGTCTCCCATTTGGACATGAAGGGGGGTGGGGGTGTCCCTGTTGTCGTTGTAGCATGGAGTAGAGGTAGGAAATGCTATGGGGCATGGGCTCCGGGTCCTGGCACAGCTGTTCGAATGGCGTAAGGTCCCTATATACGTCGGGATGCTGTGGTATAGCAGCGATGTAGTTCTTAATTTGGGTGTATCTGAATGTCGTCAAGAAGGGCTGGGTGGGTGTGCCCATGAGCGACTGTAGGGACACGATTTTCCCATTGGTGGTCATGTCTCGGAGTCTGGGTATGGTTTGGGGGAGGACGCAGCGGAGGCTCCCCGGTCTCATCCCCGGTTCAAACTCCGGGTTGTACACCAGAGGCAGCAGCGGGGATGGGAAGGAGGAGAGGCGTAGTTTCCTCGCCTGTGAGTGCCATACGGTGAGGGTGGCGGTGATGAAGGGCTGTTGGTGGACTAGCCGCCTACCAATCAGTGGGTCCAGCCACAGGAGGGCTGAAAGGGGCCTGCCTGCATGGTGTGTTTCGATAGCCTTCCAGGGTTTGCTAATCCCCTCTTTTGCCCATTCCATGGCCCGTTGCATGTGACATGCTTGGTAATACAGTTTGAGATCAGGAACTGCCAGGCCTCCTGCTGTTTTGGGGAGTGTGAGTTGTGTGTACTTGAGTCTGGGTTTAGTACCCTTCCAGATAAATTTGATGAGGAGGGTGCGGAGTGCGGAGAAGAAGGTGGTAGGGAGTTGGAGTGGTAGTGTCTGGAATAGGTAAAGTACCCGTGGGAGGATGTTCATTTTGGCAATGGCCACCCTGCCGAGCCAGGAGAAGTGAGGTGTGGTCCATTCTGTCAGGTTCTTCCGTAATGTTGCCATCAGTGGGGTGAAGTTCATATGGTAAAGTTTGGATAGGTCGGCCGTGAGCTTCACCCCCAGGTATTTTATAGCGGTGTCTTGCCATTGGAAGGGAAAATTTCTTCGGATTTGGTCTGCCCTCTTCCGGGGGAAGCCAATGTTAAGTATAGAGGATTTAGCGTAATTGATCTTAAGGTTGGCGATTTCGCCATATATCTTTAACTCTGCCATAAGGTTTGGGAGGGAGATTTCTGGGTTCGTTATAAAAAATAGCATATCGTCTGCATATGCTGCGATTTTGTGGTGGTCTGCCTCCACCGCTACCCCCGAGATATCTGGGTTGTCCCTTACCGCTTGTAGGAAGGGCTCCAAGGTCAGGATAAACAGAAGCGGCGACAGAGGGCAGCCCTGCCTGGTTCCATTCCTGACCAGGAATGCGTCTGTATAGACCCCATTTATGCACACCCTGGCCGTGGGGGACGAGTAGAGGGCCTCTATCCACTGGCGCATGTGGGTCCCCAGGCCAACATGCTCCAGTACCGAGAACAGGTAGTCCCACGCCACCCTATCGAAGGCCTTCTCCGCGTCCGTAGAGAGGAGGAGGAGGCCCTTCGAGGAGCGCTGTGCGTGGTGGATCAGGGAGAGGGCCCGGACCGTATTGTCCCGGGCTTCCCTGTGGGGGACGAATCCCACTTGGTCAGGTGAGATTATGTCTGGTATGTGTGGATTCAACCTTGTAGCTAGTATTTTAGCGAATAGGCGTAGGTCGCAGTTAAGCAACGATATCGGTCGGTAGCCCGTGCACCGTTCGGTATCTCCCCCCTCCTTCGGCAGCAGGACAATATTGGCCGCTAGTGTTTGCTGGGGGATAGTATTTCCCTCTGTTATAGAGTTGAAGGCCGAGATAAATTGGGGGGACAATGTGGCCAGGAAGGTTTTATAGTATTTGAGAGGGAGGCCGTCTGGGCCTGGGCTTTTGCCGGTCTTCGAGGATTTGATGGCTAGGGCCAGTTCCCCCTCCGTAAGGGGCGCCTCCAAAGCCTCCGCTGCGTCCGAGGAGAGTTTAGTTTTAGTGTATTTAGTGAGGTATGCGTTCATGCGGGTCAGTCCCACGTTAGGGTCCGCCTGAGGGGCGTGGGGGGGAATCGCGTAAAGGTCCGTGTAGAAGCGGGTTACGGCTGTAGCGATTTGATCTGGCATGTGGTATAGTTGGCCTGCGGCGTCGCGCATGCGTGCAATATATGTCATGGAGCGTTTTTTGTTGATCATTCTGGCCAGCAACCTGCCGCACTTATCCCCTTCTGTGTAGAAGAATGATTTAGTGCGCTGGAGGGCCCTAGTGTACGATTGCCGCAGGGTCCGTGCTAGTTCTTCACGGGCTGCTATGAGTTCCCCGAGAAGTGTGTCGTTTAGTGTGTGCTTGTGGGCCTGTGTTAGGGTCCCTATCTTGGCCGTTAGTTCTCGGATCGTGTGGTCCCGTGCCTTCTTCAGGGCAGAGGAGTGTGAGATGAGAATCCCTCTCATCACACACTTGTGGGCCTCCCATGTCAAGAGGGGGGATGTGTCCTGTGGTAAGTTCTCGGTGAAGTAGTTTGTCAGGGCTTGTTGTACGTCTTGGGCCACCTGCGGGTTGGATAGGAGGTTTTTGTGGAGCCGCCATGTCGTGGTTTTGGGTTTGTGTAGTGGCGATGTAAGTTGGATTGTGAGTGGTGCGTGGTCGGACCACATGGACCCCCCTATGGCAGAGTCCCGCAGTCTGGGTAGATAGTAGTATGGCAGAAAGAAGTAGTCGATGCGTGTGTAACAGTCATTCGGGGTCGAGTAGAAGGTGTAGTCCCTAGCTGTCGGGTGTGTCTCCCTCCAACAATCTGTAAGCCTGTACTGATGGAGAAGTTTACGAATTTTAAGCAGTGTGGGGGGGGGGGTGTCGATGAGTGGCCCCTGGATGCGTCCATTGTCGGGTGTAGAGCAATGTTGAAGTCCCCACCCAGGACCAGACAGTGAAGTCGTGGAGGGCCCGGAGTGTGTCCCGGAGGAATCTGTCCTGTCGTGTGTTTGGAGCGTAGATGTTGGCAAAGGTATAGGTTTCCTCCAGGATTTTACCCCTAACGAATACGTATCTGCCCAAGTTATCAGTCATGGTCGAGTCAGCTACAAAGGGTATGGATTTGTGTAGGAGTATTGCTGTCCCCCTAGATTTCCCATCTGGGTTATTGCTGTAGAAGCCTTGGGTGTATATATGGTTGCAGAGTTTCGGAGCAGCATTGGTTTTAAAGTGGGTTTCTTGGAGGTAGACCACATGGGCTCTAGTTTTCTGACTGAGGCGTAGCGCATGTGACCTCTTTTCGGGGGAGTTTAAGCCCTTGGCGTTTAGGGATAAGAAGTTGAGTGGGGCCGGTGCGTATTTGGGTGCGGGTGTAGCCACAGTGTCAAGTCCCGTGGGTGTCGAAGTTGCCCCGGTCAGTGGGGGCCTAGGTAGGTAGAGCCCGGCCCAGGGGCAAGCGGGGCAGAGCGGGGGAGCGGACGACTCCGCACGACGGAGCGCAGAGGGGGCCGCCCTCGCAATGGAGCAGAGGCACCGGTGTCAGGGGGGTAGAGATCCCCCGGCCCGGAGACCGGAGTGGGGGATGACCCCCCCTATATAGTAGACACCGACCTCACGGGGAGCGGAAGGCGCCTTGTCAACCCGCCAACAGCGGCGGCTGTGGATCAAAACAAACACCAACAGGTGTAACTTAAACCTGTGAAAACTGCTGTCGCGCCCCGGGGCGAGTCTCCCAGGGTACGGTCGAGTACCAACTGTAACCTGTTGTGTGTCTGCAGGGACTCGCACCCGGGTCCCGACGTTGTCCTGTCTGAAGGGAGGATGTACTAGCCTACCCAGGGCGTAACCCCCTGTCTACTGTGCGGGTGTTTAGGGTGTTGGTGGACCCCCCCTCCCCCCAACCCGTTCCCCCCATGCGCATCAGTGTAGCCCCGTGGTGGCGTTTCTCTGTCCCTAAAAGTGGTCTGGAAAGCCTGTGTCCCCCCGAATTGCGTCCCGGTTAACGGACCCCCTTGTGGGTTCCCCCTTCAGTGTAGTGGTGGGTTGTGTCGCTCTGGTTGCGGCACGTCTCTGGGTTGTGTACGCGGGTGCTCATACCATATTGCGTATAGAACTGTACCCAGGTGTAGCGTGGTCTAGCACCTATCCAGTGTTGCATGCGAACCCCTAGACCCTGGGAACTTGCGCGTGCGTCGACCCTGTGGTATGAGTGATAGCCAGGCGTGGGACGTGCAGGAGCATACGTCGTGTTGTACCCCGTCCCATGGTGCTAGTGGCGTGTGCGGGTGTGTGCGCAGGGTAACATGTGTACCAAGGAGCACTGTGTTAGCCTGCGCTGGCAGATCTACACATATATACACATTCACATATATACACAATATACACACAATAGTTCATGTAGTGCAGTATACCAGTCTAACATAAGCAGGCGCATACACCATATTATACAGATCTAAAGCAAGGGAGGGTACTAAAGGGCATGTCCAAAAGGGAGCCCCACGAATAGGAAGACCTACGGACAGCTCCTAGGAAAAACATATCACGTTATATACAATGCAATGTACAGTTTGAGCATGCGCGGACGTGCATATGGGGCTATACACCCGCCAGGGAGCAGTTTGAGCATGCGCTGACACATTTACAGCGGTTAATGTAATGCAGGGGACAATTGCGGCGTGTGTGGGCGGTTATGCCATGGTACCTGCTCTGCGATGAGCAGTTGTAGGGATGGCAGGCGCAGAAACAGTGGTGTGCAGCGGGGGGCGGGGCAGTCGTGACCTGTGCGTGCGGGTGAGATGCAGCGCCGCGGATAGTTATAGAATGCGCTGGCACATAAGCGGTGGGCAGTTGCAGCATGCATGGGCGCGTGTGCCACAGAGACAGTGCAGTAGGTGCTCCCAGCGGGCCAGTGTCAACATTGGCGGACAGTACCATG